ATGGATGATGGATGATGGATGGATGGATGGATGATGGATGGATGGATGGATGATGGATGGATGATGGATGGATGGATGATGGATGGATGGATGGATGGATGATGGATGGATGGATGATGGATGGATGGATGGATGGATGGATGGATGATGGATGATGGATGGATGGATGGATGATGGATGATGGATGGATGGATGGATGACGAATGGATGGATGGATGATGGATGGATGATGGATGGATGGATGGATGGATAGATGGATGGATGGATGGATGGATAGATGGATGGATAGATGGATGGATGGATCCATGGATGGATGGGTGGATTCATGTATGGATCCATGGATGGATGGATAGATGGATGGATGGATGATGGATGATGGATGGATGATGGATGATGGATGGATGGATGATGGATGGATGGATGATGGATGGATGGATGATGGATGGATGGATGGATGGATGATGGATGGATGGATCCATGGATGGATGGGTGGATTCATGTATGGATCCATGGATGGATGGATAGATGGATGGATCCGTGGATGGATGGATGGATGGATGGATCCATGGATGGACAGATGGATCCATGGATGGATCCATGGATGGATGGATGGATCCATGGATGGATGGATGGATTAATGGATGGATCCATGGATGGATCCATGGATGGATCCATGGATGGACGGATGGATCCATGGATGGATGGATGGATTAATGGATGGATCCATGGATGGATCCATGGATGGATCCATGGATGGATCCATGATGGACGGATGGATGGACGGAGGGCCGAGCAGCCGGACGTTCCCGCATTTCCCGCTCACCTCGGCCAGGAAGGCGCTGCTGGTCACCCTCTGGCATTCCAAGGCGCTTCCCAGCACCGGGATGAGGCTCCGGACGATCGGCGGCAGCCGGGGCCCGCAGAGCCGAGCCATGGCCCTGCGTGGGAACAGCGCTCGGAATCCCGGGAATTCCGGGAATCCCGGAATCCCTGTCCCCGAGCGGGACAACACCCAGCACGGAAAACCGGGACGGACCCCCAGGGAAGGATCTGGGGCACCCCGGACGCCCCATCCCGCTTTTCTTTGGGATGAGCTGCCCAAAAGTTGGATAATCCCAATCCCAACCCGGCCGTCATTCCCGGATGTTTTGGGATGGGGTCGTGGCGATTTCCCAGGAATGACGGGATGGGATGCAGCAGGATACTCCGGGAATTCCAGGGATGCAGCAGGAAAAGGGAGTTTTCCATGGGGATATCTGGAGGGGACCTTTTCCATGGGATCCCATGGAAGTGGGGCAGGAATGGGGAGGGAATGAGCCCGGCCATGGGAACGATGGGAAACGTGGGATGGGTGGGGAATTGTGGGATCGGAGACACCGGGAATTCCGCAGGGGGATCGGAGACACTGGAATTCCACAGTGGGATTGGAAACATCGGGAATTCTGCAGTGGGATTGGAAACATCGGGAATTCCACAATGGGATTGGAGACATCGGGAATTCCACAATGGGATTGGAAACATCGGGAATTCCACAATGGGATTGGCAACACTGGGAATTCCACACTGGGATTGGCAACACTGGGAATTCCACACTGGGATTGGAGACATTGGGAATTCCACACTGGGACTGGAAACATCAGGAATTCCATACTAGGATCGGAGACATCGGGAATTCCACAATGGGATTGGAAACATCGGGAATTCCACACTGGGACTGGAAACATCAGGAATTCCATACTAGGATCGGAGACACCAGGAATTCCACAATGGGATTGGAAACATCGGGAATTCCACAGTGGGACTGGAGACATCAGGAATTCCATACTAGGATCGGAGACACCGGGAATTCCACAATGGGATTGGAAACATCGGGAATTCCACAGTGGGACTGGAGACATCAGGAATTCCACACTGGGACTGGAGACATTGGGAATTCCACACTGGGACTAGCATCACTGGGAATTCCACAATGGGATTGGAAACATCGGGAATTCCGCAGTGGGATTGGAAACATCGGGAATTCCACACTGGGATTGGAAACATCAGGAATTCCACAGTGGGATTGGAGACATTGGGAATTCCACACTGGGATTGGAGACACCGGGAATCCCATTTTGGGATCAGAGACACCGGGAATCCCATTTTGGGATGGATGACACCGGGAATTCCATTTTGGGATGGATGACACCGGGAATTCTATACTGGGATCCGGAACACAGGAATTCCACAGCGGTACCAACTTCCAGCTCCGGCTGCATCCCCCCCTCCACATTCCCGGGAACAAATTGATCCC